ATTTTGCCAAAAAGTGTTTACAAATCGTTCCAATTTAATTGTACATCTCCGCTCACATACAGGCGAAAAACCTTATAAATGTCAGCTTTGTCCTTATGCATGTGCGCAGAGTTCAAAATTAACAAGGCATATGAGAACACATGGACAACAGGGAAAAGAGGTTTAAATAATAATTCTGTTTTGATTTTTGTATTTTCGTTGTTTTTATTATTCTTTGCAAAAATACATATTTATAAAAACGTGAAATATTTTTAAAATTAAAAACACAAATAAGATTTTATTCCTCATTTTTTAAAATTAATAAAAAATACAAAAATCAGAATATTATTAAAAATATTTAAAAACTAAAATACAGAATATTTGTATTTTCCAGGTTTTTAACTGCAGTATTTGTCAAATGCCCTTTTCTGTTCACTCAACACTCGAAAAACACGTTTGTTGCCAATTTTTAATTTAAACTTTAAAATGTAAATAAATAGATGCGAAAATGCGTTGTACAAAATGGATATGGAAATAATAATAATTCTAATTCAAAAAATGACCAACAAATTCCAACAACGACGTCTGCTACAGAGCAAACAGAAAATGATGTTGCTACATCTAATAAACAGCAACAAAATTTAGGTAAAATCATCTTTTAAGATTTATTACCAAAATTAGATGGCACGGAGTTTTTCCTTACAAAATAAATTTCTTCTCTTTTTTAGCCGACACATTAAAACACATTCCCGATGCTAATTCTATTGCAGCATTGTTAGAATTGAGTAAAGGCCCCAGCAATTCTTTGGTTGAAACAAGGAATAATAATATTAATGTTGGAGGAGAAGTAGCATCAGCATCATGTAATTCAACGTCTTTGCCTCATAACATTGCTCAGTCTAACAGGCTTGTTCTGAATTGGCTTCAGGTAATTTCAAAGAAAATTTCAAAGGAGAAATGGAATTTTAGGCATTAAATGTGAATGCCCAAACAAGCAATGTAACAACGGTAATTGGTCCTAATAGCGGAGAAAGTCTCCCAGTTGAAGCACACATTACTGCTGGCGAACCTGATATTGAAACAGATCCTGACATAACAGAAGCTGCCGATTTGGCTATTAAAAAGGTGGGTAGATAAATTTGTATTTTTGTCCTTTAAATAAAAATACAAAATTCTGATTTTTGTAACAATTACTTAAAAATACAAGTATATTCGGATTTTAATTCTGGTATAAATACAAATTAAATTTGTATAAGAGTTCTGATAAAATACACATTTAAATACTTGTATCAGAATCATATATAATCATATAATCATATATTTTTTTTGTATCAAAATCATTATTTTGTATTTTTTAGAAACAAATACAAATTTCGAAAATTTTTAAAGGAGAGATCAACTCCAGTATAAACACATTTTTGTGATGCTATTGCTGTCTTTTCTTTTCAAATTTTAACTTCAATCCTTCGCGTCTTTTTATTAAGAATCCTTTACAACTTTTTTCATTTTTTTTTTAAAATTATTTTTGGTTTCTCTGAATATTATAAAAAACAACAAATTAAAATGGCTTTACATATATTTTAATCCCACAAATTTTTATTCTTTTTATTTCTTCCGTCCATTTCCCGAAAATTTTTATTCCCTTATAGGCTTATTCTGTGTATTGAGGCTAAAGAATTTTCAAATTTTTTCGTTTTTTTGGACATAAGTTCAACATTTCAATTCTTTTTCTTGATTCTTAATTCAAGCTTTAATTCATTCTCCCCTCCCCCTTCCCAATTTTTTAAAATAAAATATTAAACTAATTATTCAATATACAATCTGAAGCCTATATTAGGTATATTCCCTCTTTTTTCTTCTGTATTTTTAGCATAAAATTCACTGATATCAGTTTTTCTTAGGACCGAATATTATATATTCTTTATCTCTTTTCCTTATTAGAATAATTTCAAAAAACAATTAATTGTTAAAAAATAAAAAGGAAAAAATTAGCGTGTTTTCCATCAATTTTTGTTGAACCCAAAAGATTACCACCAATATCCTTTGGTGATCTATAGGGCATTTGTTTATTCAATTAATTGTTTTTATTTTCCATAAATATAAAAAAAACTCCTTGTTATCGCAATTCTTTCAAATTTCTTTTATTTAGAGCCTTGGACACTTATTAAAAAATATTTTATAGATTTTTAGTATTTTTAAAAATATAATTCGGTAAACTCTTGGTAAAAAAAGTTAAATATCCAGTTGACTCCCCAAACCTGTCCGCAAAGAGAATCCGAATTCTTCATTCATTTTAGGAGGGGAACACATTTTATTTTTCCTTCGTGTTCCTCTCCTAATGCCAAAAATGCAAAGAAAGTAATCTTTCTGACAGTTGGGGAGTCTACTGGACATTTACTGACAAAAAATACTCTTTTCCCGCTTTTTTCATTAAAATGTTATTAAAACAAGTTTAAGAGATTATAAAAAAACATTTTTGCTTCAATCAGAACAATAAGGATTAGTGTTATTCACGGTACCGTATTACCGCAGTATTTTTCGGTAATACCGCCGTATTTTTACCGAAATACCGATACCGAATACGGTACCGAACAATTTTTTAAAAATCGGTATTTTTCGGTATCGGTATTTTACCGAAAATACCGATACTGAACAATCGCGTTTGAATAACACTAATAAGGATATCTGAAGCAAAAAATCTTTTAAATTTATTTTCTCTATAAACTTGTTTTACCCTTTCAAATTTTTTATAGTTTTCCAAGCCGAGCAAAATTGTGATATATATAAATGAAATTTATCCTCACAAAATTAATTTACACTTCGGCTATTTAAAAAAAACAATTTTTGTCTAAAATATGGAGCTATATTTCTAAAAAAAAGTTTGTTTCAAGTTTATTTTTGATTTGAGAGTTTGGAATAAGTTTTGCTTTAAGTTTTTCAGAATCAAAACTTGCTTCAAATTCCTTCTCAATTAAAAAAAAATAAACATTTTTTCTGAAAAAGTTTTTAGACAAAAACTTGTTTCTATTATTCCCCCCCCCCTCAAATGAAATTGTAGCTTTTACTAAAAAATATTTTTTATATATTTCCCGGTTAGCGCCTTTTCTTTATTACAAACATTTTTAAAATTGTTTTAATAAAATTTTAAAAATTTTATTAATATTTTTATTTTATTTTTTTGTTTATAAATACCCCCCTTTCTTGGCAACCCGGTATTTTATTTTATTCTTTCTTTTTTTTTAATTTTTAGAGTAAAACTGAATAATTTTTTTGAATTTTTAAGTTAAAAATTTTTTAGTTCTTTTTAAATTGTCTAAATTCAATTAAATTCGTGTTTATATTTAAAGAAAGAAAATTAATTGGGAGCTAGCCGACATTTTTTTAAATTTTTCTTTTAATTGTTAGCACATTTTTAAATTTATATGTTTATATACAGTCAACTCTCGTTTATTTTAAAGTTTCTTTACAAGCTTCCCCCCAGTTTTCTTCACTAAACTCTTTCCCCTCCCTCTCTCATAATCCTTTAGTTTTAGCTAATAAAGAGTTGACTGAACAGTCGGGATTCCACTATAAGATATACCCAATATTAGCTACACTTACTTAAATTTAAATTGTTTTTTTTGAGTTGGTCATTGGGTGGGAGGGAGGGAGGGAGAGAACTGTCTAGGCGTTATTTCCCTTTTTAAGATACCCCTCTTTCATTATTCTACTATACGCTTTTTCATCCCCACGAGTATATCTTATAGCGAGTTCCGACTGAATTTTAATTTTCATTTTATTATTTAAATTTTGCAGTTTTTAATAAAAAAAACATGAATGGCAGCCCGGTGATGTGTATATTAAACCTATTTTTTATAAATTTGTTTAAAAATTTGTTTAGTTTCTTTTCTTTTTTTATCATAAAAAATTGTCGGCTAACTCCCCCCTACAACATATATTCTCTCGTTTATTTCCTTTTTCTTCTAAACTGTTAAAATCTATAAAAACCTCTAGAAATTTTAAAATATTTTTTTATGTTTGTTGCAAAATTTTTTTAAAAAAAAGGAAAGAATTTAATAAAAAATTTTTTTTTCGTTTTTTGTTGGTCACACTGCTTCAAGTCCACCCCAGAAGACTTGTCTTTAGACTTGTCTTCAAGTCCACCTTATTGGTCAAAATTGGGTACTAAAACGTTGACTTTTATGGTGTTGACCCTTCTAAGTTGATCGCATTACTTTATTGATTCTAATAGTAAATTCTGGGAGAAATTTAGGACTTTCTAGCCTCTAAGAATTCTCCGCTTCTGGGTAATTTTTAAATTTATTTTAATTAAAGTCTAATAATTTTATTTAAAAATCTTTATTTTAAATTCAACAATTATATTTTTTCTAAATTAAAAATAAATGAGGCACTCTTCAAATAAATAATTAAATAATTCTTCCCTTAATGAATATAGTAGAGATCATCAAATGTTAGAGGGCCAAGTAAATTTTGACGTATAACGCTAAAATCTTCAGCTGAAGGTGATTGGCGAGAATTATTTTGTTGTCGTTGTTGATTTTCTTTATTATTTAATTCTTTATTGTTTTCGTCTATTTGAACTCGGCAATCGCCGTTACAAGGCATTTGGATTGGAACAACCAAAGAACAACGATGTTTACTTAGGTAGGATTGAGAAGGTGGTGGACCTAAATAAACAAGCTTGTGGATTTTTGGTTTTTGCGGATCGAAATTTTAATGTTGAGTATCTAAATTGTGGCCCAATATTACACAAAAAGCAAAGATTGGATAAGTACGCTCAATCGCGATTTTTGATATTTATTTGGCTATAACTTTTTGTAGGGTGATCTGATCAAATCAAACCTTCCCACTAAAATAATCCTCACATCCAGAGCTTGTGGTTGATGTAATAATTATTTAAATTGGTTAAGTACAAAAAGGTTATGGCCAAAATATGGCCTCGAGACTGAAACTGCCTATATATTGTTTTTGAGGATAAAGGCAGTTTTTCCAACATAGGACCCGACGTTTGAGACCAAACATTAGAGACTACCTATCCAAGCTGTTGATGCACTAACTCCCTCCCTTCTAACAACAAATTGGCTTTGTTCTGCCAAACAAGTTTGTTGTAAGTCTGCGAAGGTTGATTGAGGTTCTGAAACCAAATTTAAAGGAACAGAAACTGAATTTGGTAATTTTGTTGTTAATTTTTTATTTTTTGTTTCATTGTTGGGAGGAGTACAATGATGAACTTCTACCTCCACTGGCAATTCAAAGACATGCATTCCATTGGGGCAACAGTCTAATGGAATTATTTAAAAATTATAATACGAAAACTTTACTTTTAGATACCCCCTTGAGAGGGATGAAAATTAATGAATTATATCTTAAATAGAAGGGGATGAGTGCCTAGTTTTGGGATTAAAAAGGGGTTAATCCGTTCATAGTTGGGTGTCCAAGATCGAAATTTTTCTAAGACCAATACCGAAAAACCCCAAGAAAAGTCTTGAATTAAGATTAAGAATTTTGGACGTCTCTAGGGAGAATAGTTGTGCATAAAAATAATAACCGTGAGTACATTTTTCAAAAAAAATATGGTCCTTCCTTTAACACAACACAAACAAAATTTTTAATTAAAAAATAATTCTTTTTTAATTACAAAAACAAAAATTAAAAACAAAAAAGAAAAAAAACAAAAATCTTTTAGAGGAAAATAATTTCCTCCTCCTCTTCCTCATATTCTTCAATCATTTTTTGTTGTTTTTGTAGTAGTAGATGACTGTCAAGTTGAACTAAACACAAAAAGGAATTTGGGGTGGATGGAAGGGTTTTTTAAAAATTGTTAGTAAATTAAATTGGGGGTTAGTTGTGCATAAAAATTAAAAAAAACTAATTGTGCAAAACAAAAATTTGATAGGGCAATGAAATTTTAAAAATAAACGGAGCAGTTCAACAAGTCCCAACTCTATAACTCAAGGAGTAAATAGTTCTTAAAAGGAAAGGGAATTAAATATGTACACTACAAGATATCAAAAAATAAAAGTGATTTTTCGGAAGTTTATCGAGAAAAACTATTTTTTATCAATCAGACAAGAATTTAGATTTTGAAATCTTGTAATGTATTTAATTCTCTATCCAATCAAGAACATTAAAAATTACCCACTCCTTCCTCACAATCCCCCCCCCCCCTCCCCCTCTCTCTCTTCAATAAATTCCAAAATTTAATTACCATTATTATTCTGTTCATCAGCAGAATTATTTAAATTATTATTAATTGCTAATAAAGGAGTTCCTCCAGACATTCTTCTGTTTGTTGTAGGCGAATTTGTGTTTGATCTAGACTGTTGATTATCCTTTGGAGATTGGGGTATTTCTTGGTTATTTGTTGTTGTTGTTGAATTTATTTTGGCTGATGCCATTGCTTTGGCTACTAGATTCTAATTGAAAGAGGGGCCTTTTAATAAACAAAAAATCCTTCATACCCTAAAGGATCTATTAGAGGGTGGCTGAGCAGTCATTAGACCAGTCCGTGCTGTAAATACTCCAGAACCTCCATTTCCATTAATTTCAAGAACAATCGATGCTGATGACCCGCGACGACTAAAATTTTTAATCAAATTTATTTTAAGAGTCAACTGGACAGAAAATTTAAGGGAGTCCGGGAAATAATTTAGGATTTAAATGAAATTCTCGTGTTTGAGTTACACTCACAATTCGACCCACTGAAAAACCCCAATTCGTCCCCCCCCCCCCCGTCCCCAAAAATTCACCTATTTGTTGAGTTTGGATTAAGATTATTGGCAATATCTGTTGTCTTTTTAGTTGTTGATGGGACTTTGGTAGTTGAGCGTTGACCAAAACCTGTTGGGGCCATTGCCTAAAAATTAAAATTTTTTAAATTTCATTATATAAATTACCGCGACAAGTCTGGACACTGTAGGTTTTTTAATTTTCTTTTCTTTGCTGCCGTGAAATTTTGGTTTTCTGGCTGCGCAATTACAAATTACACAAACACCAAAGAGTAGAAAAAACACTTAAAAGGAGTTTTTATTGAAGGACTCCTTTTAAATTTAATTTTTGTTTACCAATACAGGCGCCATTCATTACAAAAAAGCCTGGAAAGAGTAAAGAAATTTTTGAGATAAAACAACTAAAAAGATTCACCAAAAAGCATGTCCAACTCCCCATCACCATTTCCAAAATCTTTAGACTTCATATTGCCGTTAGGCTCTGGTTGGTATTGTCTTTGATTTGTATTTAGGGAGGAAATTGATTCGGAGTCTGCAGTTTGTGGAAATGAACTAAATAAGAATTGTTTTTGTTTATTTTTAAATACAACAATTGGATCTCGGTCGCAACGTCCAACTGGAGTATTGGACGCTGCGTCAAAAAAAAAATTTAGAATAGAGTGTCAGCCAGCATACATCGGCTGGCTGGTGCTCCTTTCCGTGTTCCTTCCGGACCTCGTTCCTAGACAAGGAGGCGTTATTCTTTAGCATCAAGGGGTGGATTTAAATGCGAGGTTTAATTGAAATTCAAAAATATTTAACATCCTTTTATACAATTTAAAGGTACTCTTTTTTATGAAAAAAAGCAGACTCCTTGAGAAATTGAATGGCTAATGTGTACGTAACAAATGTATCTAAGGCACATTATTTTAAAAATGAAAAGAAAAAAAATGAAGGGTTTCTTGTCATGTAAAAAATAAAAAAAAGGTTTCTAAGAAAACCCAATTTAAAAAAAAGGAAAAGCAAAATTGGGGGAAGGGGGGGGGGGAAGAAGTGATGAGTAAAAACCTTTAAAAGAAACTTGATGAATAAATTTAGAAACTTGAAAACTTGATTTTTGCTTTTTAAAAATAATGTTGCCAAAGGGAGGAGAGGGGGAGGGCAATTTACCGTCAGACACAAAAATAGTTTCACAGAACCTAGCACAAATCTGTCAAAAAAAGTCTGACGTTTTTGTGACTTTTAATTGTTTCAAATTTAGAAATAAAAAATTATGAGTATTTTATTTAAAAAAAGGACAAATGTTACTTAAATAAAATTGCGGCTAAAAATTATTAAAAAATCCTTTGTGTTTAATATAAATTGGAAAGCTTTAGAAAAAAAAAGAAATTTGAAACTTGAATTTAAAAGAAAATAATAAAAAGGTTGTTAAAAATGTTGAAAATGGAACTCTATTAGGTATATAAAATCTATTCAAATCCAAACAGGTCAACTCCCCCCCCCCTAAATAAATTTTTCGAAAAAATAAAACTTACGTATTTGAAGTATTTTGTAAAATAACAGAAAGTAATTGTTCTCTATAGCTTTGTTTTTCTTCTTTAATTTTCAAAAAATTTTTTGTAGAAGGTAAAATTGTGGTAGAAGATGGATGGTGATTATTTCCTCCTCCTCCTCCTCCTCTAGGCACTAATATAGCTGGTCGGCTTTTGTTTAATTTATCGGCTGTTGAAAATCGATTCATTTGGCTGACGATAATTAATTTACCTTTAAAAAATAAAAAGGGGATTTTTGAGGGGAAAATTTAAAAAAAATTTTTGGTTAGTTATTAAGTAAATTTTAAGGGCAGAACAAGTGGAAGGATTTTTTAAAAATAAATTAAAAAATAATCTCCATAATTCAAATCGACCGAATTCCCTTTGAGAAAATACGGTAAGGAAATACAGCAATCCCTTTGGGAAATAAAAAGTCAAAAATGCTGTAGAAAATCAGTAGGAAGGTAAACGGTACTTTCACTTGTAGCGTGTTCTTAATGCGGGAACGGGTTCTTTTGACGGCTCTTTTGAAGAAGCTATAATTTGCATAGTTGTCAATTCGACTCCAAAAATCAGCTAGGATCCCCTGCACTTTTTGACCATTTCGAGCCTTATATCTGAATCATGGTTGTTAGATCGATACCAATCACCCCTCATTGACACCTGTTTCGTTCATATCCGACACGCATTAAAAACCCGCTATAAGGGAAAGTAAAAAGAAACTCGTGGGAATTGAGCTGATCGTGGAACTGAACGACAATTGGACGGTCAGGCTAAAAACACGTCCCATAGAATTAAGCCTAATTTAAAATGCTGACTTTATTTTTTAAAAGGTATTCTTGGAAATTATTTAAGCATTGGACTCTCGAAAATTTAAAAACAAAAAAAAAGTGTTGAAAAAAAGAGAGGAAATTCTCTGAAGAAAACATTTAATTGTTAAGATTTTCACTTTTTTGATGGAAATATTTTAAAAGAAATTAAAAAGCAATTGGTTGAAAATAAAAATAAAAAGAGAAGAGAGAGAAAAGAGAGAAGATATACTTAAAGTAATTTCTTTGAAAGAAAAATAAATTGATATTTTTTTTAACTTTTTTAGTTAACAAATTGTTTAAAGTATTTGGAGGAATTTAAAACAATTAAAATTCAATATACGGTAATTGGGTAGGTATACGGTATTGAAAATAATTGAACTGTGATAGAAGGACAGTTCTGAACCTGGGAGATAAAAAGAAAAGTTTTAACTGTGGAACAACTGGACAGATTTTTTTCAAATTGATTGCATGACAGAAAAAATTGGAAAATTAGAATCTGAGGGACATCATTAGACAGCACTTTTACAGGGGGGGGAGGGGGAAGGGGGGTTATTTTAAAATCTTTGAATTCAAAAACATTTTAAAACAAATCCCCCCTTCACTATCTATCCATCATTTAAACAATTCCCAATGGTACGATAAAAAATGTAAAAAATTGTTTTTTGATTTATTAGGTTTTCAATGCTTATTTTTAACTAAGGGAGATTTATTTTTAAGAAAAAAAACTTACAATTTGAGCAACAAAAATAAAAAATAATTAATAAAATAATTAAATTGAAGAAAGACGACATCTTTTGAGCTAATAATCTTTTTAAAAATAATTTTTTAAGGAATTTTCTATTTTTGCAGCAAATTTATTTTTAAAGGTAAGAAAAACAAAAAAAAATAATTTTGAGTGAATACTTCAACTCCTCCCCTATCAATTTATTTTTAGAAATTTGAGTAGTTCTCATCTACATTTAAATACCTCTAGTATTTCTCAATTTCTTTTTTTTTCACTTTAAAATTTCACACACAAATTTGTTATATTTTTAAAAATCAAAAGGTTTTTGAGGAATTTTCCTCTTATACCTCAAAAGGGTCATTAGAGTCTTGAACAGGAAATTTTAGTTTACACTTTAACGAGACTTTAGAATCTTAGTAAAATTCTGTCATATGTCCCGAAAACCTACATACATATTTACACAAATATGTAATTTTTTCAGTCTTGAAACAGAATTTTTTGTCTATAACCTCAACGGACCTTTAGTTGTGAAAAAGACGTTCTAAATCAACACACCTTTAAAAATATTTTCTGCTTAAATAAGAGGTAGAGATTAAAAATATATTTAACGAAAAAATAAAAATAATTCTAAACTAACGCAGAAAATATTTAAAAAATATTTTTAGCAAACTTTAGCCTTTCCATTTTTGGCAATTTTAGAATACTTAAAATAGGATGCTTCTTCTATTGTTATTTTATCGAAACTAAATTATTACCCACTATTGTTATAATAAAATAGGGAGAAAATAAAGAGAAAACTTGAAATTTAAAGAGGTTCGGCGCGCACGTTTGGGCGCCAGTTTTTCAGCGCAGCATGGTTTGGTAGCAAGGTTTAACTTTGCTCAAGATTATTGAATCAAACTGTTTTTGGTGTCATTCGACTCTGCTCACGGAACTCTTTCGAATGAGATTTCTTTCGCGGAAAACTGTTTTTGTGCTGCTACGGGGGGTAGGCCGGGGATGTCGAGCGGGACGACGGCCGCCGATTCGCTACGGTCGCCGCGAGCGAAGCGAGCAAAACTTTTTAAAAAGATTTCGAGACATTTGAGTGTTTAAATATTCTACATATTAAGGATCAAAAAAAGAAACATTAAAACCTCATTTTCAATAAAAGTTTGGATAATTTTAAAGTCAAGGAAACAAAACAAAAAAGAATATACATGAAACTAAAAAAAGGTCTTCTTCTCCACAAACAAGTAAAACCCTTCACGAAAGCATTTCCGTTTTCTTTTTTTATATTCACCTTAATTCGCTTCAATTTCTTTTTTTCTTGTTTTATTTAATAATCTAAAAATTGCCTAAGAAGCCCCGAAAAATTTTTTGTCATTTTTTTTCAATTTCTTTTGAAATAAAGAAATGAAGAAAGATGTGTCTCACACAGAAAAACCTATTCTAAGAAGAGTAACTGATTGAATGATGCCCCGAAATTCAAGAAAGAAATGACTGACCATTTTGTACATCAAGAAAAAAATTGGGGAGGGGACCCATATTTAGACTGACATAAATAGCTTAAAAATCACTTTTTTAAAAATACTTTTTTATTATAAAATTTAATTAATAGTAAAATAATCTAAACATGACTAATGAGAGTAATTTTCAAAAAAAACAAATCTTATTTTGTGAGTGTACAAAAATTTTGTGTAAATTAATGGGAGTGAACTAGTGATCGGAATTTCGTAACGTACCGTAATACCGATACTTAAAGATACCGTTAGTTGTATAACACGGACCGATCACTAGATTGAACAAAACCATGACTTTTTTCAAAATTTTATAAACAATTTTTGAAAAAAAATTTTGGCTCTAGTTTAGGACTAGCGTCCTACGAGAGTTTAAGCATCCCATCAGAATATATGCGTACCAAAAAATATTAATCCTCAAATAATTTACAAATCCTCAACCGCGTGAAATAAGCGTACCCGGTTTGTGCTTCTTTCTAACAACCCAGACTGCCTTCGTACCTAACTCCTAATTGTACTAGAATAGATGGGACGCTTATATTATTGTTGAGACATATGTATACTCTATGGGACGCTTAAACACATAGAATGCACGTCCTAAACTAAAGCCAATTTTTTCTAAACAAAAATATCCGCCATGGAAATGTTCTTTTTTGAACAAAGAAAAGGAAGGGAGGAGGGATTTATATAAAGCTTTGACAAAAATTTTCTGTATTGTAAACCTTTGTGTCCTGTTTAATAGTTAAACAATTTAACTTTTTTGTACATGTATATATTACTTTCTTGCTTTGTCTCCCAGTCGTTGCAGGCGTACTAAAAATATTCAGAGATTAATAAAAAGAAAAATTTCAAAAATCTCTCAAATTTAAGCTTTGGTTTAGTTAGAACTAAAGTGGTTAAACATGTGCGAACAGGCGAGTGTGGAAAGTTGCTGATGTCTTTGAAGCGGGGATGGTGGCTCTGGGGGTAAAAACCTCCCCCGCCACAGAAATCAATTTAAAAATAAGGGAGAAAAAGTTGGATTTATATTACCAAAAAGCCAAAAGTGATAATAACCTCATAAAAAAAGAATATTTCGGAACCCAAACATTAAACAACCCAAAAACTCAATTTAAAAAAAATATACATCGTTCATAATTCCTTTCAAGAGCTTCACCAACACGATTTCTTGCCTCCATAGATTGAAGAGAAACACCAACTCGTAAAAGAGAATCATTATCTTCAACACTTAACATTATATCCATTTCTATTTGGTTTCCAAGAACTGATTGTCTCTTTGAAAAATTTTTCTAAAAAGTAAAGAGAAAAGAAAACTTGATTTTCAGCATGAAATTCAACGAGAGATTGGGTTGTTAATGTTGCCCTCAGTAATTTGGCAATCATTTCTGGACTAATATAGTTCGACTCGATGTTAAGAACTTTTAGAGAATCTGTCCTTTCTATTAATTCCAAAAGAGGCTGCAAATAAATATAAATTAAAGATAAGGCAAAGAACAAAATTACACCAAAATATTTTTTGGGAAACTTAGTTAGACAGAGTAAAGCTTTTCACCAAAACCGAGGTGGGTGTGTCAAAGACCGAAAAATTTTCCAAGACAAAATCACACCTCAAAAACACTACCGAAAAACCCTAAGAAAAAGCTTATGTTAAATCGAGAGCAGTCTTGTAGAGGTGTCAATAATTTTGGTCGAGGATAGGCTGATTAAGCCCAAAAAACTTAATGGTCATAAGGCTTTCTGCCCCCTTATTGAAAAAATTTAATTAAAAAATACCCTAGCTTCTTGATCGGAAATAGCAGTATTAGCCAACGACAATTTTTTTAAATTTTTAGATTTCGTCGCCGCCCTAATCATTTGTCTAATTCTTTCTTTTGAAATTCTTTTCATATTATTTATATTTATTTCATTTAAAGATGCATCACTTTGCTCTAGCCTTCTATAAAAATAAAAAAATATAATAAATTATTTATTAGTCAAGTCAGGTCGAATGTAAATCGTTTGGGGACACTTATGGGCATTCTACAGTATAACATAAATAAAGGGTTATAATGTAAAATAGGTATACAATCCAAAATAGTCATGGATACCTAACTGGAATGGGACAGAAATTTCATACCCGATAGCCTAAACAGTCTTTTTCGACCACCCGACTTTTTCTCAACCCATCCCATCCAAAATACTAATGTAAGGACATAGTATTGGAAATAATATGATAAGTAACAATTTATCATAATTTAACTTAAGTATTTTAATTTTGACCTCAAATATCGACCCCCAAATGTCTCCAGATTTTCAATATAGTAAAAAATAGAAAGAAAACCTAATACAATCCTCAACATCAGTTTCATTTTCAGGTTCATCTGGGACTGGACGTGGTTGAAATGCTTTTATAACACCATTAAACGAAAATCCAGTTTCTTCATTTTGCCCTCTTCCTTTCAAAGCATTATAATATTGTGGCTGGTTTAATACATTGTGCATCCCTACAAAATTTTGTAAATTTTTTAATTAAAAAAGAAAACCCAAAATTCCAGCCAAATCAACCAAATCCCCTTCTGGGGCATTTTTAAGAGCTTTTTCAATCAAAACATCATCATTTCCATCATATTCATCATCGTCATCATCAATATCCAATTCTATTGGCATTTGCATTTCCCCCTTTATACCAATTTTATTTTCTCTTTCTTCATCGTCTTTAGGTTCAAAAATTTTGCCTAAAAATTTAAAGTAAATTTTTAACTAAAAAATTAGTTTCGGGAACAGGGGATGTCGGGGGAATGGACTGTAATAGGGACCCCAAAATTAGCGAGCAAACCCACAAATTATTTTAAAAATCCAAATTTTTATCCGAAAAAATTTGCGGACTGTGAAAAAATTTAAAAAAATAAAGAGAAGTGTTTCAGAAAAATATTTTTCATATTAAAGAAGCCTACTTTTAACCAAAAAATTAAAAAAACCTCTTTTAATTCCTGGAGAAAATGGCACAACTTCTTCCCAATCTTTTTCAGTTTTGGCCTTGTCTTCCAAATATTTTAATAATTTATCTCTTTGATAGGGGCCTGTTGGTTCTTTATCGGTTTGATTACGACAACGCTGAGAGGGTGGTAATAGAGAATTCTGAAAAATTTAAAAAAATTTTTGGGAAAATTTTGTGATTCCTGAAGAGGTAGGATATAAGCTAGGTTGTTGTCCGCAAATTATAAATTCTAAATTTAAAGAAGTAGTGAAACAAAAAATTTTCGTGCTTGTCCCTAACCAAAAATCTTTCCGAAATCAGAGAGAAGTTTGCAAAGTCAGGTAATTTCAGTTTGCAAATTGCGCAACGTTCCCCAAATTGCAGTTTGCAACTAATTTGCGGACAACAATCTATCCTACTCTTACACTTAAATTAAAAAACCACACCTCTTCCCCCTCAAATCCCTTTGCTTACAATTTTAATTTAACCCCCCCCCCCCTCCAAATCCTTACATCCGGATCAAAATCATTATTTAAATCCTCCAATTCCTCCATAGACAAATTAGACAAAAGCCCTTCAATATCCTTGTCATCATATTCACGCAAATCCCTTCCATAAAATTTTGCTGCTCCTCCACTTGCTAATGATGGTGCATGTGTTGCTAATCCTCCAGACGTGGGACCTGATTGCTTCATTGATTTTGGGGCTGCCAAAGTTTTTTCTTCTGCATAAAAACTGAAAAAGAAATTTTTTCTATTTTCCAAGAAATCTTTTTAGAATGGATTGTGAAGAATTTTGAGAAAGAAAAAACATTAAAGGATAGATCCGGATTTTTTCAGATCTAGTGATTTGTCCAGACCGGATTAATCCAGAAAATCCTGCCGGATCTGTTCGGCTCTACTAAAGGTAGAAATACAGAATCCGGATCTGACTCCGAAAAAAACGATGGAACTTATGCAGTTTGGGTACACACTTTTGTCCACAAACCAGTTACGGCCCAAAATTTTTTTTCGTTTTTTTCAATTTTTGTAAAAAAACTCCCAAAAATAAGAGATTTATTTTTTAAAAGTAAAAAATGATCTAAAATCTTTTAAAAATATTGATTGAAAAAATGAAGAGAAAAGTACTTAAAAATATATTGGAATAAACTAAATAAATAACTGCCAAACATGAAAAAATAATAGAGAAAAATAAGCATCTGTTTAAACACTTACTTTTCCATTTTTTTGTTAATGACAATTGTACGAAAATGATGGAAATAATAAAAGATTTAAGGAAAAATTAACAAAAAGATTTTACTTTTACACCACAAAAAAGGCAACTAATTAAGAAAAACAATCAAAATTTTAAAAAGGAAAAAACAACAGAATGCCAAATTTAAAAATGGTCGAAATTCGTAAATTTACAACGTTTGATATTTATTCTTTGTGAACTCTATTTATGGACCAAAAATTCTGGGCCCAATTTTTAAAATTTTATTTATAAAACGCTAAAAAATAGATCTCTTCCATTTTACCATAAAATAATTGAAAATGAAAGGGAGGTTGTTACTTAAAATAAAAGGAACTCTCTCCCCCACCATTGTTATACCTAAAAGAGGAATTAAATTCTAAATTATATCTAAAATAAAAGAGGGGATGTAATCAAGTTTGGGATGTTTAAAATTAAAAGAAACAATATATAACTAACTCTGTTTTGCTCATGATGATTGTAGTAGTAGATTTATAATTAAAATAATATTGTAATGTAAAAATAGGGAAAGTTTTAATTAATTTTAATTGTAGCTTCAAAAAATTATTAAATTAAAAAAAGAAGAAGAAGAACTAAATAAAAACTAGTAAAAAAAGTATTTAGAATTAAAGGCTGTTGTAAAGTTAAAAAGGTTAAACAAGGGGTTTTTAAAAGTTGAGGAGAATATTGAAGCAATAAAAAAACAAAAAAAGTGTCAGGTGGTCTGTAATAAAGAGCCTTTTAAATCTTTTAAAAATCACACCCCCTAAAGCAAATCAGCAAAAAAATCAAAAGAGGGCCGTGATTGATTGGATATTTTTTAAAGAGAAAAGGTCGAGAGAACACGAGTCAAGAAAAGGTGGAGGAAAGTTTTTATGAGATGCTTAAAAGGAAGGAAGGATTGTTTATTTTTGGGATATTTTTATTTTGGAAAGAGGAAAATATTTTTAAAATTAATTACTATGTAAAGTGGAAATCGGCATTCCCGGAATCGAGTTTACGAGATAGCAGGGAAGGGATCACACAAGAATAATTAAGTAAATCCCGGAATCCCGCTTGTTGTTCAACCCCCAGAATTCCGGGACGGGATCCCGTAAAAATCCCGTTTGGGATTCCCCCCGTGTCGATCTCTAATGTATAGTTGAAAACAAAAAAATTAAGAAAACATGAGGAAGCCCAGACTAAAATTGTCCGACTGTATTTTGTTTGGACGGTGTTTTGTCCCAAATCTGAAAACAAACAATGCAATGTTTTTGTGCCAGCTAATAAAAATTATTCAAACAACTGGAAAAACGCTGCGGGCATTAAAAATAGAGAAAAAGAAAATTTATGGAGTTTTGGGAGAGGATTTTGCCTTTTAAAATTTGCAGCCATAGAAGGATTTATTTAGCTGGGGGGGGGGGGGGGGGGGGGGTAGCTATGGGCAAAAAGAAGAACAAACATAATAACAATCGACTTGACTCATTTCCACTTTAATAATGTGCCAAAAATTTTAATTTTGTTAACAAAAATTGTTCAAATAATTAAAAGAAAGTTCTAAAAATTTATTATTCTGGCTCGGAACATCCAGAACTGACTATCGGTGAATGCCGCGAACCAATTTAGTCCCGTCAACTGACAAGTCTTATTTACAAATCAGTAATGTCACGGGTTTAAGAAAAAGACGGGTCAAGTTTTTAAAAATTATTGAGATCCAGTTCTGTTTGGAGAAAGTCAGGGTTATTCAGGTTTCGGGTTATTCAGGTAGCAATCCGTGACATTCTTGGTAAAAATGTACAAGGCTTCCTCAAGGTAAACAAATTCTCCATAAATTTCCTCGACTACACGAAAGGATAATTTCCCTCAACTTTTCCAACTTCTCAACCTTTTCCCCAAAAAAGACTTGAAATGCTCAATTCTCTTTTTTTTTATTCCAACAAAAATTATTTACGGATGGATGCGTGAAAAGGATGTGTTGGGTTGTTGTTGGTGTTTATATGAAGAAAAAGCAGCCGGCAAATGTGAATATAAAAATATATACTAGTATTTTTATTTGATTGTTTGGTAATTTTGAGTGAATACATATGAATAACAACAACACACAAAGATATTTATTTTTAATAATTACTTATATTTTTCTGTAAAAGAAAAAGTTTTTTGACTTTTTAATCTAGCTATTTAGTATTCTCTTTCACTTATTTTTAACTTTTTTATAATAATTTACCTAATATTGAAGATATCTTAAGCAGAGGAGTAGCTAATAAGGGTGGCTTATGAAATCTCCGGATATCCGACCCAAAAACTTACGCAGATATCCAGTCTTTTTTCGGATCCGCCCCTCTTAGTAGAGCTAATTTTGTGGGTATCTTAAAACTCGGACTTTGTTTCAAACAAAAGTTACCAACCAGGTCTGAAACTTCTTCTAAAATTCTAGACTTTTCCAGCGGATTCCTAATAAAAAATTAAAGTTTCCTGTTCAATATTCAGTTTAATTTATTTATTTTTTTCATTTAATTTTATTTTTCTTAATTATAAAAAGATGGAAAATAAGAAAAAAAGGAAGGGAAGGCACACTTCCTCCTCTTCAGATAGTGCCAAATTATTTATTATTTTACTAATAAGAAAAAAGCGCAGATGTTTGGAAGAAAAACCTTTCAAAAACTTAATTAATTTAGAATGTTTGTGTGACTTTAAGCTCGGATAAAAAATATGAGAAAAATACAAATGGGTGCCAAATTTTTGTGTTTAATCCCTCCTCCCTGTTTTCTGCATTTTCCCTATGCCCCCCTCCCCCCCTCCCCCCCCCCCCCAAAAAATATGTCTAGAAATATCAAAAATTTAATTTAAAATTTTTTTTTCTCCAAAAATATTTTTTCAATTTTTCTTTTTTTATCCTTTCCCCCCTCTTTTCATTTATAAATTTTTCTTTTCTCGGGTGGTCATAAATTCTTTTTTTTTCCTCCAAACTAATTTTCTAACTAAACAGCAGCCTGCCTTATTCCCCCCCCCCCTCCCCTCCCCTACTTTCCAAACAACATTTATTCAATAAAACTATTTTTCCTTCTTTTGCCAAGTATTTATATATGTTTATCTGAGCAGAAAAAAAGCTTTTGGCCAGTTTTTTCATTTATTTTTAGTTGACCAATACTTTGTTTAAAAAAAAGGCCAAAGGGTATACATAGAGATACCATCATCGAGACAAATAAATATTTTTTCTCGTACCAGGGCTGAACAAAAAATAAAATTATTAAAAAAAGAGATTAAAGGCCAACAAAAAAAGAGAAGCTTGTAATTTTTAAATAAAAACCTTCTGTGTTTATCCATGTCCGTGTACTACATACACCCATTTTTATTTTTTCCCCTAAAAATACCTCCCAAATATTTTTAATAAGAAAAAGTTACTGCTTTTACTAATAATCTAAAAATAAAATCTTTAAATATTTTTACACTTTTATTCTCGATTTAAAAATTCCTTTGTTTTTTTCTATTAAAATTAAGGCATGCAACTATTTTTGACCTATTTTTTTAATTGAAATTATTTTTTGTTTGAGTGGATATATGGCAGAAAGCTTGGGGATTAATGCCTTTTTAAGACTAGATTAGTGTCTGAATTTTTATTGAAATAAATCATTTAAGCCCACCCTGCTTCCCTCCAACTGCCCACTTTCATTCCATTTTTTATCACAACCATTTATGTCTTTCTAGCCACATTTCAGACAAGGCTAGTTCATTTACCAGGATAATTTTTGTACCTTATTCCAATAAAAATCCACAGACTAACTACTATATTTCCAATTTTTTGTTTCGGGTTTTGGCGCTCACCGGCCCCTATAAAATATTGTTTCTTGCCCTTTTATTCCGGATGACGAATGACATTTTATAAAATTCCCCCCCCCCTTTATTTATCATTCATTCATCATCACTTACCCTTATTTTTCATAATCTTTTTGTCAATCCCCCCTTCCTTAATTTACCAAAAATATTTTTGTTGTCTTTTATTTTTATGCAAATATATTTTTATTTTTAATTAAATTATTTTTCCCCCATTTTAACTTTTAACGGAAAAGAATAAATAAAATATTTAACCTAAATTTATATTTATTTTGGTTAAGAAAATTAAAAATAAAAAGAAAATCAAAGCAACAAACACAAATCCCCCATAAAATCCTGTCTTGAATAACTCTTCTCGTAATAATAATTTTATTTTAGTGCCCACAAAAAGGCAATAAACAACAACAGCGGAAAATTCCATTAAATTATTACTCCCAATAATAATTTTCATTTAGGCGCCAAAGGAAACGCCATAAGTCAAAACCCAAAACTAATACCCAATTAATATAATCTAGAGCTTTCAAATCTGCTTGCCGTGATGAGGATTTGCCCAAAAATAATAGAGCTCCATGGGCTCTATTTTTCAACTATCCTCCAAATTGTAGCTCTATTTCAGGGTGAGATAGATAAACACGGTATAATTATAAAAAACATCCGTCATTTAACCAAACCAAAAAACACTAATTTCCTTCGGCTTGTTTTTCTTTGTACCACACTAAAGGTCAAAATTTTTTTCAATTTCTTGCCAAACCTCCCCTCCCCCTCACAAATTCTCAACAAATTCACTAAATCTTCAACCTTCCAACTCTACTCTCTCCCCCAAAATTGCGCAACAGCAACAAAATCATAAAACGTAAATTTTGCGCACAATTCTCTCTTTTTTTATATAATTTTCTTTGTTCTCTTTTTAAATCTCTTCCCCCGCCCTCTTTTTTCTCGTAAATCCAGCTCATCAACAGACAAAACAAAAAAATCTTTTTTTAATTTTCCAGTTCATTTAATGTTATCATAAAATTTATTTTTATTATCAAAATTATCAAAAGTCTTTCCTTTTTTTAATTAAAAATGATTTCGGCTCAAACTTCTAATGGTGTGGGGAGTACAAATACAAATTATAATTATGAACATCAAGAAGCTACAATAATAGCAACACAACAACAAAGGAGAAAGCCTGATTTGATTAGGTATTTAGTGGATAAAACTTTGAGCCCACAAAAACGTTTGCGGACTAAAAAAAACTGAACTTGGATCAAACCACGCAGGGCATACTTTTTGCTGTTATAATAAGAAAATCTTTTACTTAAGTTTTCTCCGCAAATGTCAAAGTCGCTCTAACAAAGAAATTTTGCTCAATTTTAAGGCTCGAACGTTCCCTTACCGGAGTTAGCGGTCAATCAATGCCTCATTCTTCAGATTCTTCAATTTCGCAATCTTGTTCAGATGAAGAAGTAGAGGAGGAGGAGGAGGAAGAAAATTTTCAAAAAATAGAAAATTTAAATAAAAATCCTCCAGACGCCCGTAGTCGTTTTTCTGCAAATAAAGCACTTTTTCAAAGAATGGAAAAACAGGCTGAAAGTTTGTTTAATAAAGAAAAACAACAACAGCAAAATAATCGCCTTTTACCTTGTTTTTATTCTCCACGTTTACAACGTTCTTCTTCAGCAAGTTTAGGTTTTAATACAACAACAACAACAACCCCAAATAAACAACAACAACACCCACCTTTAATACCTCCAAAACCTTTAATTGAAAATACAAATAACAACCAAAAATATCCTATACCCGGCAGCCCTTTAACCCAACTTGCGCGCAATTTTAGCCAATTTGCCTCTGATGTTGAGAGAATTGCTAGTGAATCTAGAATTGTTGCAAATGAAGGAGGGGATAATAAAACGAAGTAAAATTTTAAATTAAAGGGGACAAATCCACGAGATCGCTTTCATTGAGTATAACACCCTAGAGGACCACTTCGTGGAGAATCAACTCCCTGGAAATCAAATGACTCTAGAGATCAACTCCAAAATATCTTATTATACATAATGTTGTTTCCAACTATAGGGATTGGCGAATATAGAGTGAAAAAGGATCAGTTTATTCTGACAAATTTTGGTTCTAATCTCCCTCTGTTATCTTCTAGAATGTTGATCTCTTGGGTGGACCCAATTAAAGTAAAATAATTTTTTAGTGCCACAAAAAACGACGAAAATGGACAGAAAAGAGAAAAAGAAAAAATAACAGAAGAAATTAAAAAGAAAGATAATAAAAATTTAAATAAAACAAATCAAAAAGATAATCAAATTGGATATGATGCTTATTGGAGAAGGCCAGCTTATTATAGAGAACGTCTTTTTGGTAGTATTGAAAGAAATAATTCTGTTAACACAGAATGTCAAGAAGATTCACAAAAAAGTAAATTTTGTATGAAGCGACATTTGCGGACCGACATTTGTGTCACTTTTTGTTTACCGTATATGCTAAAATAATTACCCCGGATAATTATTGTTTCAACCTTTCGCTGAAGAGGATAATTAATCGAGAGAGGGTTTTATACGCTATTTGTTCTAATTTCACGACTGCTTAGAATCGGTCCGTAGATGTCGGCGAGGCATTTTTGTGCCAATCTTCATTATCCTCTTTTATTGCAGAAATATCCCCCCGTAAAGATCATTCTCCAACTAACAGCGGCGGTGGTGGTGGAAGTGAATCCGGGGGCGATGAATCTGTGCCAAGTGAACCTCGTCCAAATTCTTCATCCCCATCAAAAAAACAAAATAATATAACAGAAGATATAGAAACACAATTGAATGTTGAAACAGTTAGAGGATTATCGCCAGATGAACAATTGGTTAATAGCGGCAGGAAAATATCTTTTAGTACAGCTCCAATCCGTGTTTATAAAACACATGTAAGCGAACTGATAATGCGTAACAAGGATGGGATAGGTTGAGAAAAAAGTCGGGTCGGGTTTTCAAAATTTTCTTCAGATGTTGTTTTGGGTTTTAAAAAAGTTAGGGTTTCGGATTTATGGTCAGGTTCGTGTCTGGTTATTTAGGTGGATTAAGAGGGAAAGGTCGGATCAGATTTCGGAATCCCTGATGATAAGTAGAATCAAAAATTCTCTCCCTTTTTTGAAGGGCATAGAAGAATACGATCGTCGCAATGAAGAAATAGATCCTGTAGCTAGTTGTGCAGAATATGAATTGGAACGTCGACTAGAGCGTATGGAGCTGTTTGATGTTGAACTTGAAAAAGGCCCTGAAGGTTTAGGAATTAAGTAAAAAACATATTTGTTGTTAATTAACTTTCCCTTTCTTTCAAGTATAATAGGTATGGGCGTTGGTGCAGATGCTGGATTAGAAAAACTTGGAATTTTTGTAAAAAGTATAACCACTGGAGGTGCTGTCCATCGTGACGGGCGTATTAGAGTTTGTGACCAAATAGTTTGTGTTGACGGTATTTCGCTTGTTGGCGTTTCACAATTGTAAGGATTTGAAAAAAACAATTCTGAATTTTTTTGCCACAGATTTGCTGCACAAAATCTTCGTTCAACAGGTCCTAGGGTTCAATTCACAATTGGACGTGAACATAATTTAGAAGGAAGTGAAGTAGCTCAATTAATAAATCAAAGTTTAGAGCAAGAAAGGCTTGGGGAAAAACATAAACATCAAATAAAAAAATTGTGGGATAGAGTTGAAAATAGTTGTAATGAAGAGGATGAAGAAGAAGAAGAAAATGAAGGACAGGTAGCCTTTTTAAAGAATTAAAAATTCATTTCTGTGGTGTAGTGGGTAGCTTGCTTGATTTGTACTAAATAGGTGACACAGGTTCGATGCCTGACAACATCTGCTGGTTTATATATTATCAACATTCAAATATAAACCGTTCAAAAGCCTCAAAAAATTGATTTGCTTATAAAAACTTTTTTATTAGCAAAAAGACAAGATTGTCAATTCTCTATCAACTTCGCAATCAAATCAACAACAACAAAAACAACAGCAAACATCCATTCACTCTTCAAAACAACAATCAAATAATCAACAAGAAATAAATTCAAGAATAAAATTATTAGAAATTGAATTGGAACAATCAAAAAGAAAAGCTGAAGAAATGAATTCTTTATTAGAAAATACAAGACAACATTATTCACAATTAGAAGGAAGATATAATCAAGCTAGAGATATTGTCAAATCATTTCAAGAAAGAGAAAGAGAAATGCTTAAACGTGAAGAAACACATATTGAACTAATGCGTACAAAAGAAAAGGAATATTCTGAACTTATATTAAATTTACGTTCACGTATTGAAGAATTGGAAAAAAGGATAGAATTAGCTATAGCTGAAAGGAAGGAGGATAATAATAATGAAAAGGAAAGGGAAAAACAACAACAATTCATTCCACAACAACAACAACAAGAAAATGAACCTCCACCAGCACCACCAGCTCATAGAGGTAACCACCACCACACAAATCAAACTCAACAACAAAGAAGAAATGAATTAATGCTTCCTCAACCACGCCAACAACAACGTGAAGGGGAATTACAACAGCACCAACAACAACAGCACCAGCGTCAATTCCGACCTGTAGGACTTCGACATGCTGGACTTGTTAGTTGTCAGACTTAAAAATCCAAATTTAAAATTGTTCTCTTTACAGACTTCCAATTCAGTCCCTTTATCAGCCGCTCCAATTATTTCTGGGACAACACATCCACCACATTACCTTATTCATTTTGGAGGACGTCCTCTTCCTTCCCCTGGGCATCCTCTATCACCTGCTATTGAGGAAATGGCTTCTGCACCATATGAAAACAGAAATCAACATTCCGGTCCTTCTCTAGGCAGCCCCGTTCCAAGAATTTCAGAGCCAGCCTCCCCTGCACTCCCACAGAAATGGGCAAAACATAATATTGGACATGGGACAACAATTCAACAAAGTAATAGTACAGGCCCACGCCTCGGTCTTTTCCCTTTGCGACGACGTTGTTTTGCTCCAGCAGAAAATGAATTTTGGCGTGAAAATCAAGAAGCACAAGGAATGGCTGTATTAAATTGGGGTGTTGATGATATATGTCAATTATTAATTCATTTGGGATTGGAAAAGTATATACCAGGTGAATAAACAATAAATATACATAAGTTGAGGATAAGTAAAAGAGAGTGGAATGAGTCAGATAATGAAATAATTGGAAGGTTTGGGGATACAAAAAAATTAGAGATGTATGAAGAAAAATGAGATCATTAACATAA